CCTCAGCGGCGAGACTGATTCCCACTGAGACCCCAGCGCCTTGCTCTGAGGCATCGGTCGCAATCGGGCGACAGTCGAGCGGTCGGCCCATGTCAGCGACCAACATCGGCACGCTCATCATGCACATGACTAGCTCATCTGTCAATCGGTCCCCGAGTGCCGCTCGACTTGAAGGGAAAACCATCATGCCGATCCCACGCCACGCCTGGTCGAGGCAACACAAAGCTTGACGCCTCAGCATTAAGTTGGACACCCAGCGCCCACCACGGGGCCTGCATCTCGACGATGCTGGAATCTTGATGATCCAGCATCTAGGCCGCGAGCGCACCATGCTCCAGGATCCTCTCGATGGGCGGCGCGGCCCGCCCCGCGAGCCCGCCCACGCCCACGCCCACGCCTTTGCGCTGCGCGCGGGAGGAACGGGCGACCCCCTTCTGGATCGAGACGGGCACCGACATAGCCTCCAGCACCCCCCGCTGGCTCCCCCACTCGGAGACCTTCGCGAACTCCGTCTCGTCAGAGTCGCCCACGCACATTCTCCAGCACCACCTCTGAGCGGGGTCCTCACGGACGGGGAAAGGCTGAGCCGGCAACCCGTCCAACGCGATCTGCCTGCGAATATGCTGCACCACTCCATCCGCTGACAACCACCCCATCAGGATGACCCTCACGCAGACGTACATCTCACGGCACTACGCGGCGCTAACCCACTTCGCCCGCGGCTTCGGGAACGTAAACCTGCGCAACCACCGAGGTGACAAGACGCACAAGCGAAAGCACACCGAGAAGTCATCCCCCAAGAAGAGAACGACATCGCCGTCTATCAGCACGGCCAACGCGCACTCTCCTGGGAGGGCGAGCTTGTCGATACTTCGCGCGACGAGGGTCCGCCCTGCGCTCGCTGGCGCGAGGTTGGCTGCCAGGCGCCGCCGATGGCGGCGACCCTCTGGCGCGTCGCCGCTATTCGCCAAGCTAGAGGCCCCGTTGCCCAGCCGCCCCTCGTGAATCACAGGACGCGTGCTTCGTCGACCGCCGCCAGGACCCCACGGTCAAACAACTGCCCAGCGACGCAGTCCCACTCGTCATCGTCGCAGCGCACCGCGGCTAGCCCCACGTTCGGCCACTCCTCGAGTGGCAAGATGAAAAATTCTTCGCGCCCGAGGGCATGGCGCACAGCCTCGCTGCAGAAGTTGGCCACCTCCAAGTTGCCACGCCGATCCGCTGGCGGTAGCCCAGGCTCGATCTGGCCCGCGTCAGCTTCTCGGGCTCGGTGACGACCCCCTCATCATACCCGAACACTGGAGACGTGGCAACCTCACTCCAGGCGATCCGCTGCAACTCGGTCTCACTCCCCTCGGGAGAACAAAGGTACCCGCCCCCCCCCCACCACCACCACCACACCCCACCCCACACGCGCCGCACCGCCCCCCGCTGCGCCGCCGTGCACCGCGGGGCGTCGGAGAGGCACGCGCCGGAGATGAAGACGCGACCCCCGCGCAGGTCGATCGTGAGCAGCCTGCGCAAGCACGCCCAAGCCCCGACCCCGACCCTCCAACGGAAGGTGCGCCTCTCGTCGCCGCGAGAATTCATCGCGCCCGTGGGATCGCCCAAGCGCTGGGACAGGGCCTCGACGCGCTCACCCGCGCTCGGCAGCGGCAGGGGCAGGACGCCCCGCCTCCTCGAGGCATTCTCAGCCGCATTGCGCGCTGCGTTGGACGCCCGCCCCGCCCGCCTGCCCATCCGCGCGTCCGCGCGCAGCAGCAGTCGCAGCACCTGGAGGCCCATCTCGGCGACGTTTACATCCAAGTTGCGGAGGCTCCACAGGGCCCCGCCCTGCATCCTCTTGCAAGGCTCGAACTTGACCTCCATGACGGCGGGAGCTGCCGCGCGCGTCGCGGGCACCGGGGAGGTCGCCGCCGCTGCGCGCCGCGCTTCGGCGCGCCCGATCTGTCGCACGACGCCACGCCTGCTGAGCCCCGAGCCCGACTCCTCGGCGCGAGCAGCCCTGCCTCGGGCTGGGCCCGAGGCGGCGGGGGCGGCGCAGGGGGCGACGCCGCCGATCTCGACGCGCCCTCGCCCTTCCCTGGCGGGCCCGCCCGACGGGGCTCCTAAGCCATCGGCTTCGCGAAGGCCTTCGCCATTGGTGCCGGCGTTCGCTTCTTGCGCTTGTGCCCCCTGGCCTTCGCCGCCATCGCGCTCGCGCGCGGCGGCTCCTCCGTCGTCGGCGGAGGGCGAGGGGCTGCGGCCCCAGTTGGCACGGAATCCGCTCGGGCTGGCGGACTGCACCCTAGGGCCCTCGCCGCTCGCCCCGCCCCCCCGTCGCCGCGCTCGTCTGTCGGGCCACCTTGGGCTGGGCGGCCCCCCTCCGGAGGCCCGCGACTCCCTGGTGGGCCTTCTCGCTCTTCTTCGCCTCTTGCTCGATCTCTGCGAGCTTGGCCCCCTGCATCTCCAGCTGGCCGGCGAGCATCTCCTCCGGCGGGACTGCGAGACCGATCGCACG